AGCAACGAAAGGAAGGTCGGCGACAGCGTCTGAGCTTTATAGAGCGGCCAAGGAAACCAGAGGAAGCCACAACGAAGCCTTTTCCCGCGCCAGCGCGACGCCACAGACGGCCAGGACGCGCCTGGAACGCTGAAGAAGATCGTCGGCCATGTAGCTTAGGCGGTGAACATTGTTCACAGTAATTATAGAATTGCCATTCGTTTAAAATTACAAATTACTCCTAAATTTGTATAACAACTCAAAAATCTCCAAAAATAAAAGTTGTTCAAAATCCAAAGTTCTACAACTTTGCTTTTATAACCAAACCCAAATTCGGTCTATATTTTGAATTGCAAGTTTAAATTCAAAATTGAAACATTTAAAGAATTACGCCTTTTCAAATTACTTCAAATTTTTCTAAACAACTTTGAAAACTCCAAAAACCAACTTTGTATAACTCGACAAACTCTACATTTTTGCTTTTAGGCCCAACCCCAAAATGTGCTTAGATTTTGAAATGGGTTTTTCCAGGGTAAACTTAAATGCTGAAATTAGGGTTTTCGGAAATTCAAATCCAACCAAAACTTTGAACTTGATTCATACATACAACCAACACATATTATCATAAAACAATATTCACACCAAGCATTGCAACAAAAATTATTAAACTTTTATTAAGGAAGAATTTGAATTGTTTAATAGATTCCCACATTAAAAATTCACAAAGTTTCTTAATCACTATTATTTCATGTAACATATAACACACTTCATAACAACATTTACATGCTATAAATTAAACATGAAATGCATTCATGAGTTGATACATGATGATTATGCATAATGATAACATGATCACCTTTTAAGTACTTTATAACATCAGGGATGTTACAGAACTCCTCAAACTTCTTCCAATCATTTCATCCCCTTACTGTACATGTTAGAGGGGGTACTTATAGAGGCCCTAGCCTTCGTGTTTTCATACAAATAACCTTTTTACCCCTCTCTTTAATCAATACAACACCTTTAAACTACAGGTGTGAAGTTATCTTTTTCACTATTCTAGACTTCATTCTTCAACTTGTACTTGCCAATCTTTCTAAAGAAGTTGTCTTCAAACTTTGCCAATTCTTGTTTTATCTTCTCCTGACTTCGTTTGTCAAGCGAAGTCAAAATCTTGTCTTTGCTTCCGACTTGTTCCAGTCTTTTCTTTATTTGTAGTGAAGTCGAATCTTCTTGGGCGAAGTCAAAATATCATCTTCGCCTTTTACTTTCCTGCAGGCAAACTTTGTTATAGAAATTACAAATATAACTCCAAAGTTCAGGGGTTGAGTTTTGTGACGAAGTCAAATCCCCAACAGTCAATGTCGATGATATTGGTGGTGGTGGCCAGCGGATCGTCTGGTCTCTGGATACCAGGTATAAGAACCCTGTTGGGAGGGGGGCCTAGGGGTGTGGCGGCTAGGGTTAAGGGTGGCTACTATGGTGGAGGAGAGGTGGCGGCTAGGGCTTGGGGAGAGAGGAGAAGGAGATGGCGCAGGGAGAGACGCGACTGGTGCAAGGGAGGGAAGGAAGAGAGGGGTAGGAGGGAGCAATTGCTCTTCCGTTACTTGATTAGATTGATTACATCTCCCTTGTATTTATAGTCCCTAGTGGACTTGTATCCCAAGCAACTATATGAGAGATCCTTATATATTGGATTCTCCCTTCCATAACTAACTAAACTCTATTACGATAACTCATTCCGAAAGATGACGGCGGCGAGGACGACAGCGCCCCTCCCTGACGCGCTGGGGCTGCCCGACACCTCTCCTTGGACCCTGCTCGGCCCGTTAGCTCTAGGCTGGGGGCTCCCACCAGACGTATGACAAGCCTCTTCTCCTAGCATTCTATACCGTGGGCCTTTATATTTTAATAAAAAGGAAATCCCTGGTATTTGTGGAAGGAGACTCCAATGATTCCTTCCCGTGATCTTTTTAGCAAAAATATACAGATTGGTTGTTATGGCAACAATAAATATTCAAACTTCAATTGATTCTGTATATTTTTAAACATAAAGAATGGTTGTTGTGGCAACCATAAATGACGAGACCAAACTGACATCTACTTTGTAGCACATTAATTAATTTTCATGTTTAAAAGTCAACAGAATCGTATATATTTTGGGAACCACGAATCGCCTTTTGATATCAATTTGTGGTTAGGAAAAGAAAATTTTGTTGATTAGAAAATTTATATAGGATAGTATCGTACTACTGTTCCATGAATACAAAGTAGTGCTATATAATTATACTTGTAATAGGAGAAAATATTAGCAAAAAAAATATATGCAAGATCTTGGTGGCTGACGAAGCCAACAAGACGGCCAGTTCGTACAGACGCAGTTGTGGTAGTTCTACTTAGTATTCACTCGTGGACGAGGGAAGGGGGCACCACCCCACGATACATCTCCTTAATTAGTTGTTTAAGGTTCCAACTAGCTAGCTAATGATGTTACTTATACTTAATTTTTTCACTAATAACATCTTATATAGTTCAAATTAATCTTTCTATTATTTTCTTCATCTCTTTTGTTTCTTTTAATGTTGTCTATCAAATATCTAGTTCATCCTCACAGTACATTCTCTAATTAACTTGTTAAATGTAATTAGTGCTTTCTTGTTTGCTCTCTGTTGACACTCGAAAATGTTCCAAGGGAATTTCGGGCATCACCAGCGAGTTATAAACACCATAGACATATTGGAGGTCAAACGGCGCAGCAAATTATTGAAGAAATCATGCGGAGAAAGATGGCGAGCCACAGTTAGTCGGCTTAGCCGACCCAGGTAGCTCCGAGTCGTCTTAGCCGACTGCCAGAGTCCGCTAAGCCGACTTTTCCTAGCCAGCCGAGGCGCCTGCCCGAGCCCACAAAAGTCAACTTAGCCTACTCCCCCTATTGGCTAAGCCGACTCCTCTCTGGAAACCGACTAGGAGACTTCCAAAAGTCAATTTTTGGTATTTTTGGATGTGGGAAACGTGGAGATTACGACTTGGAAATGTTTTCTACTGGGATAAGACCACCCCCTCTATATATATGAGAGGATTACGGCCAATTGAGTTCCCATCTATCCAATGGATCAAAAACACATCTACTACACCCTTTATTACTCCTTTTTCAACCTCTCTTGCTGTTCGTCACGTCTCCCGGTGAGATTTATGGGCATCCTAGGTGGCCTTGCTGGTCCTAGGAGATCCTCCACACGCTCCTCCCTGACGGGTCTTTTCAGGAGAACTTCGGGAACTTTTCCAACCAAGAATCCTAGGTGGCATTGCTGGTCATAGGAGATCCTCCACGTGCTCTTCCCTGACGGGTCTTCTCGGGAGAAGTTCGGAAACTTTTCCGACCAAGAACGAGCTCTACATCGGGCTAACCGGTCTCTAGATCGGTTTCATTGATTACGCAGTGTTCTACTGTGTTGCAAGTTGATCACAACCTCTCAGGCGTTCAAGGCCCTGCTAGTATGTGATTTGGATCATCTCCAACGTCGACACTCTCCTTCTGAATCGATATCCAATAGCATTTATATTATTTTGGAATTAGTCTTCATGTTATCTTCTTTGTTCATGTTAATACCGTGATTTCTTTTTTCTAGCTTAAGAATTAATTTGATCATTGATCTGGTGAATGTTAGAGACGTATGGTTGATTATTTTTTTTATTTTTCTTCGAAGTACCTAGTGTCCTTTTTTTAGTTTTAAGGTTTCTTTTATATTGTAACACAAACCACCACTTCGCGACACCGGGCAGCCGCTGGACTCATCAGCGAAGTGCAAAAAGATTTTTTTATTTATATTAAATTAATACTTCTATATATAAGCTCCTAAAAATTTCTAGCTCCGCTACTATATATACTCTGGCAATACGTATTTTCTAATAATGCATGATCGCTACTGCTTTGAACTGCCGCCTATGTCCAAATTCATGCTCTGCCCATGTTACTCACCATATTTATCGTGAGTCTATATTCAACGAAGGGATTTGCTTTTCTCTAATATTCTCTACTTATGACACACTTTGACAAGCTACTATCATCTTCCTAGACAGTTTCACCCAAATGGAATACTTTTCTACATGGGTTCTCTCAGACGTCTATCTCTGGCTAAAACAAGAACAAAAACATACGCTAAAGTTTCTCCTATAGGGTCCCTAACACAAAGACTCGTCTCGTGAGATCACACAAAAAAACAACAGGGTTTTCAAAGTTAAACTGCTCCATTAAAATAAACATATTTGCATACGACTTTCCTTTCGGGAGACCCTCAACCTGTTCGTTTGCTTGTAAACGATCGTAAATTTTCAGCCGGAAACAGTGTTTTTCTCTCATATCAAACCAGCTAGCAGTAAATAATCCACGATCGTTTACGACCTCCCAAACAGGCTGCCTGAACACACGAACTATAAGAGCGGACTACAGGCGAGGCACTACTCCTGCTCAGGACTATAGAGGTTACAAGTTGAAGCGGGAAACTATGGACTACAATACTCTCTCACACTCGCGCTGTGCTCCTGGACTCTTGCTTCCTCCTCTGTTGCTGCTCTTTCATTGATGTCGCCTTTTTTACCAGTATCGAGGGGTTTATTGTTGTACACCTGGACAACAGCTGTCACGCACCGCATATATTTAATACTCTATTAATTGCATGGGATCGAATAATGACCACGCTTCGGGATTTTCTCCTGCGCTTTCCTCGTGTCATGTGTTTGAGGAACGTCTTTCCTCGTGGCTTGTAATCGGAGAAAATTCCTTTATTGCCGTTGAAAACTATAACAATTCCTTCATTCAAAATTACATGTTTCTTTCACTACCATTAGTTTTAAATTTTTCGTTTCCTCGTTGCCACTGCTGTTACATAGAAGTCACGGCGTGACTTACCCGACGTCCGGACACCATCCGACGGTTCAAAAAGTACTTGCCTCTTGCTACCGCAACGCATTCACTCGCTCCTCCTCCGGCTGTCGTCGTTACCCAAGCAGACCACCTCGGCTCATCTCCGCGCCTCCTCCTCTGTCCAAGGCAGGAGGAAGCTTGGCGGCGGCGGCGTTGGGCAGCGGCGGCTGCTGCAATGGTGGACGTGGACCGACAGATGGCCGGCCTCAGCCTCACCCCGGCGGCGCACGCGGCGGGGCTGCGCCGCCTGTCCACGCGCGCCGTGGCGCGTCTTTCCGCCTCGGCGTCGGCTGCCTCCCCGCGTGCTGGCAAGGACCCCTAGCTTGCGGAGCATGCCCGCGTCCTGCGGGCAACGGACCAGGCCCTCCATCCGCGCTACGTGCGCCGTCACGCACGCGCCGTGCTCCCAGTAGAAGTGTTTCTCGAAGGCCAGGAGGTTGTGGAGCACCGCCGCGCTGTACTCGTGGACGTGGAAGCACGGGACGCTCATCACGGCCACGGGGCTCGCCGGGTGTCGCCAGAACCACATGTCCAGGTCGCCGCAGCTCGACGATGCCTCGCGGAACCACACCGCTGACCTCCGAAGCTCCATGGAGCAGGGGAACAGCCGCTCCGATTCCTTCTTGATCTTGAGGAGCGTCCGTGGCGTCGAGAGGACAAAGTACTTGTCCTTGGGCACGCGGGACCAGTGGAAGAGGTGCTGGAAGTGATGGAACTCGCCGCTGCCGGCCACGCTGTCGCCAGCGCGGCGCGCGCGCTTGGGGCACAAGTCGTCGAAGCATCCGAGCACGAGCTCCTCGACGGAGTTCCGGAGCTTGAGCCCGGGGCACGACGCGGCGAGAAGCTTTACGGCTCCGAAGGGGACCTGGTTCTCGAGCACGAGCATGTCAAGCTTGATGTCGTCAGCGTGCTGCGCCACGGCCATGTGCAGTATGAAGTAATCCTTGCTGATGGACGCCGCCCGCGTCACGCTGTCGGCGGCATTGCCCTGTGCCGGTCTTGCTGAGCATCAAGCTCACCACCAGGACGAAGCAGCTGTCCAGCAGCAGCATCTCCAACAGCTTCTCCTCGTTCTCCAGAATCTCCACGGTGGCCCCGTCCGAGTCGTTGTCGGCGCCGAACTCATCGTGGATGCGGTCGCGCTCCAGGGAGAGCACCGCGACGTATCCATCCACGTCGAGGCCGCACTGATCCTGCAGGTACTGCATGAACGGGAGCTTGGCGTCGTCGGGGAAGGGGAGGCCGCGGTCGGCGCAGTGGAATGGGCCGATGGCCACGGCGCGCACCGCGTGCAGCGCCTCCACGGGCTCGCGCCGGGCGCACGGCCGGAAGATTGTTCCCGTCCTGGGCAGGCCGGGTGGAGCTCCGAGGACGTGTCGGACGCGCTGGGGCTGGACCTCCGCCATTGCAAGGAGCGGCCGCGCCCCGCTGTGCGGGTGCCGCCGGAGATCGCCGTCAAGGTCGAGCGGCTCGCGCAGTCGGTGGGGGCGCGCCCCTGACTGACTGACGGACTGACCTACCTCCCGCCACCGTCACCACAGCCGTGGCAGCATGGTGACATCAGCCCAGCCGCCGTTGGGAGGCACTTTTTTGAACCGTCGGACGGTGTCTGGACGTCGGGAATGGGAGCGAAGTCACGCCGTGACTCCTGTGTAACAGCTGTGGCAACGAAGGGAACAGGAAATCTAAAACTGATGGCAATAAAGGGAACATGTAATTTTAAATGGCAATGAAGGAATTGTTATAGTTTTTAATGGCAACGAAGGAATTTTCTCTTGTAACTGAGGTCTTTGTGTACTGTATTTGTCTTTCCTCGTGGATATTTTGTATTGCACGCGTTCAGCCTCTCACATGGCGATTAGGCCTAATGCAGCGCGTTTTGCACCGCATCAGCAGCCGCTGCATAGTTACTGGCAGTATATACTTTTTCAGAGCACGTCTCAGACGAACACGTGGTGCATAATATGTATATGTTTATTTATTTATTTTCAAATATTTTGTTGGATGTGGCTTAGGGGGTCTTCCCCACTCGCACAATTGATAGCATTAGGTATCAATTCCGGAGTGTAGGGCAGGTCCTCCACGCCAGAAAATTGATATATAAAAGTATTGTTCTATAGCTCGTTATTGAATAACTTATTCTATGGCAGATATATAGGGATATTGACGAATCTGATATGTCATTTCCTTCTATTTCATTAGCTTCATTAAATATTCTCTGATTATCATGATTTATTTTCATGGAGAACCATTCTTCATGTTCTTAAGATAAATCTGAGGGCCATGTGTTCAGAAACCCATAGATACCACCTTGCTAATATAAATATGAGTCGCGGACCTTTTTGGCTGCGTAAATCTTGGTGGATTTGAATGATATTATTGTAACACCCTAGGTGTTAGACTTACATAATTTCATTTGCATTGCATGAGCATAATCATCGAGCATTCATATATAAGCTTTTACAAGTGAAACATGTCATGTTATTCTATGTTTCCATATTTGTATGCTTATGATCATATGTGAATAAGTGTAAGTGGTTGATGTTGGTCACTAAAACACCTTAGCTACACTTAGGATGACTAATGGAACAATGTTCATGCACTACCGGAAACTCGCTTTTTTTTTGTGTGCGAAAACACACAGAAAAATACAAATACCGTCAGAAAAATATTTTCTGACGGTGTACCCTCAGAAAAATACCCACAGAAATATGATGACAGAAAAATTCAATTGTTCTGTACATTCGCCGTCAGAAACAATTTTTCTGTGGGTGTTACACACACAGAAAAATTCCGTTAGCCCAGATTAAATTTAAATATTGTGTGCGTTAATCCTCACAGAAAAAAGGAACGGCTCGACAGAAAAATAATTTTTCTGTGGGTGTAACACCCACACAAAAATTCAGTTAGCCCAGATTAAATTTAAATATTGTGTGCATTAATCCTCATAGAAAAAAGGAACGGCCAGACAGAAAAATAATTTTTCTATCGATGTTGTCCCGATAGAGCCGTAGAGGTACACTCATAGGAAAATTTTATTTTTCTATCGGTCTCGTTTAACGCACAGAAAAATATCAGACCACCGACGGAAAAACCCTTAATCATGCAACAAATTGGATACAATAATTATATACAAAGAGAACAGTAGCAACAACATATTAAATATGAACTGTCCATGCTGTAATTTCATCACAACATAATAGATAGCATACATATAAAGATCCAAATATTCAGCACATTCATTAATGGTATCCGGGCTACATATAGATGATGTCCAAATGGTTCGGCATCGATACATTCAAAAGCATTACCATCTCATCTCAACAGTTCAAGTCTCAGTCAAGATGAGTAAAGCACCAGCATGCATCATTGAGTCATATTATAGCTAAAACTAAATCTAACAGATTAGAGCCACTACTAGTTAATGTGCAAAAGCACAACTCTACAAAAGAAGAAACCACCATCACATCCATGTCTTGCAACTAAACACAACCATCACACTATCGATGCATGATCGCCATTGTTGTCGGAACCTTGATTGTTGTCAACGTTTGCAGCATAAAGATCCCCATTGGTGTGGCCAACATCATTAGCATTGTTGGCAGATTCCGAGGCAGCATGAGAAGACCCAGTTGCCTGAATGTGAACAAAGTTACAGTAAGTGGAATGCAGAAAAGTGAAGGATCCACGACGCTTTCATCTTGAAATGCACAGCAAGGCTATTAGGATTTATGTGATAATATACCCATGTGAGCCTACAACAGTGTGCTTCCCAGAACTGAATTTTGCATAGTACTAAATTGATCTATCAAAGTACATTACCATCCCACTAGAGAAGTCAATCATGCATACAAATGTCAGCCCGATGCCCCCATAGCAAAAACATCATATGACATCACTAATATGAGAATAAGCCAGAGCAACATGTCGATAATGCTTGCGATGCCTTGAAGGTTAATTACCACTTCAATACATCTCCCAAAAAAATATAATGCTCATGTGCATGTTCCAAATCAAGTAGCCAAACATCTCCTCCTTATCTAGAGGTACAAGGCAGTACCAACTGAATAATGCCAGGAACCATCTAAATTACCGGTACCCAAAAGACAAGCAACAGCCAAAAAGAGAAACAAGAGAATCAAGGTGTGAAATATTACAAACCAACATAAGGCCACTTCCTCACTGCAATAGCCATGCAAATTCACTGCAGTAGCTATACAACAATCAACATGAGGCCACTTCCTCACTGCTGCACTGTGTGTTGACATTCTGAATAGTACCCCACAAAATACTAATCAGTTTCTACTTCCTTTCCATATTAAAATCTCTAAGTGATGGATATGACAGCTACAAAACATGTTCATGGTGGAATGAAGATATACTCACAATTGCTTGCATAGCGGACAAGTGTCGTAACGCTTCTTCTGGTACAACCCTTCCTGTCTCCTGGTAAAGGTTCTACAAGTGTATTGCAAGCACAGATATTTCAAATTTAAATCATTAGATAATTCACATATAATATTGGTGAATTATTTACAAGAGCATTGCATATACCAGTACCAAGCCTACAAGAACTTTGTTTTGCTACAGTGCGTTGTCCTTTTCACGATTCTCTCGTTACAGCCTTCCATTTGCACGACGTAGCCCTTCCATTTCTCAAGACATGTTTTGCATAGTCACTGAATTTGATGGACGCACACTTATTTCCCTTCTGGCTGCCCTGACATCTGAAGACTTAACCGCACCATTTGCTATGGCAAGATGCCCATGCTTTCTCGGGGCACCACTAGACACATCATATAGGGCCTTTCCATTCAAATATTGTTGTTGCTCAACCTCATGCCCATCCACTTCCATGTCTGCACCGTCTCCATCCTCTTCGTTTGCACATTCTATCCTCTTAACAGCAGCAAGGTAGTCATCCTACAAAGACCCAGTTCCAACACTAGTTAGAAACCTAGTTCCTAAAAATAGAAGGTAGCTACTGTCTGTATCTATTTGTTTGCAGGTAGCTAGTAGCATGGCAGCAGGTCCAGTACTAGTTGCAACAGGTTCCAACCAGATCTTGAACCAGTTAGAACTCAGTTTGCACTAGTTACAAACCTAGTTTGACCAGACCCAGCAGCAACAAGTTTCAATCAGACCTAGTTTGAACTGGTCAGATCTAGTTCTAACTAGACCCAACAAGATACGATACTGTACATTAACCCGCCCTTCATACATATCAGTTTAGCGAAAGAAAATATACATCTTGAAAGCTATACAGCACAAACCAGGTTCAGGACAGGACAAGCCCAAGAGCAAAAAGAAACCCCAAAAGAACAGAATAGGCTCATTGAGCACTGCCTTATGACCCACCTCACTTTGCTTAGCAGCATCACTTGGTACTTTGGCAATAGCTTAATTGAGCACAGCATATATACAGTTCCTATTCCATGCTTAAAATCCACACACCAAAGGAGCAAGCAGCAAGAACTCAAAGAAGAAAGTGCCATAGCAGACCATTTAGACAGCTAATAAATCTTATCAAATCAAAGAAGAAAGTGCAAAAGAGGACGAGATTGAAAAGGTCGCATCCCTTGCAGAGATGTGCTTGAGGCTATGAGGTGAAGAAAGGCCGACAATGAAGCAAGTAGTCATAACACTACAGCTTTTACTAGCAATCCTTCTCTGTTGAATCGAACAATGGGGCTAATGTAGCACCTCAGCGCAGCTATAACTACTCTAGCTTGCAGCGAGAGTTTCTATCATCAGCTAGTCTACCACGTTAGATGTATTATTGGTATTTATTACCGGCTACTATTGAAATGGTTGGTTTTGCTTATCCCTATCCAATGTTATGTGCACAGATATATGACTACAGCAAGCCAGAAAGCCACCAGCAACCTTTCAAACAGCAATTCACCAAGAGGAAAGGCACATCACCAGCAAGGCAGTTTAGTTAGCTTCTTCCAAATGTCATATATTAAAAAAACAGAGGAAGTACAAAGATTAACTAGGACCACATATAGTTAGACACATGTCAGCTTAGCAAGGAAATGTACATCTTGAAAGTCATACAAAGACAAACCGAGTTCACGACAGGACAAGCCCAAGAGCTAAAAGAAAACCCCTAAGGAACAAAATAGGCTCATTGAGAACCCGAAGGCATATACTACAAAAAGAAGAATTCCTACACAGGATTAGGTGAGATATGGCCCCTTTTTTTCTCTTTAGGGGCGTAATATCTTCAAGTAAACTCAACACCACTCAAGTAGTATACACCCTAGAACTGTACAAAGAAGAAATTTTCAGCACACATGTCACATATATACCATGCGTTTACGTGCTTTGTGGCTACTTGATTGAACCACATCTACCATTGCTATCCGTGCTTTTCATGCCGATTTCATCGCAAACAAATGTA